TCTCCAAGGAAGCTCTGCGCGTGCTCCAGAGTGGTGGCCGCGATGTTATCATGCACCACGTACTGATCTGGTTTCCTGCACATGTTGGACAGGTCCAAGGTGCTCCCCCCAACCTCAACGAGTCTGCCCACGAGGCCGCGCGCGCGCTAACCGACCGCGCCGGTTCCGGGCAACGATTTGGGGCCAACGGGGATGCGGAAAACAAGGACGCGCCTGCCACGTACAACGAAATAACAAAACATTTTTACCTCGCGAGAAGACTATATCCACTTCCTTATCCAAAACTTAATTGGCCATAGGCCCTTACGCTCAGGCTACTGCAGACCGACATGCACCCTAACCTGAGATCCCTTCACGCTATTTATCCTGACGTGTTCCCCAATGACGCTTTCCCCGCATGTGGGGATGTACCCACGCTGGCGCACATGCTCTGGGAGTGCAAAGCAATTTACACTAACCCCAACAGTACATCGGTCAGGTGGGAGGCGGCCCTACGCAGCTCCCTCCTGGCCGACCAACCTTGAGCCGTCCAGCAGGCCCGCGGAGCGGCCGATAGGCTTGGCCTAACGGTCCCGACGTGGGAGTCGCCCACTGCGCGATGACGTGCGCCTTGCAGGACCGCAATAACGTTTCGCAATCAACCAACCAAGGAGCTGAGTGATGTAAGTCACGTATGTAAAAAAGTTTTAAACAAAGTAGCAATCTAGGTTACAGAATTCTTGTACCAATTTATGAAAGGTCGTTGAAAGAACGTTCATACTTCCAGACCTGTCTGCGAAAATCTCTTTATAATGATATATTGTGTTGTAACATTCTTCTTTCATGGCCAGAGAACAAGGAATCTGTGGGAACGCCCAGACTTGGTGAATAGCAAAGATACAGGAAGAAGAACCAGCGAACAAGATACAGACTGAGTAAGCTCTGGATGGTCAAGCGCACAGTGCCGCGTTCAGCCTGAAGTTCAGCATACCTGCAGAAAGCCCCGAGATAAAGGATGGGTAATGAATCGCTTAGCCTTCGCCGTTATACAGCCACCTTGACTTACTGTCCATTTAATTTCTTTTCAATATACTCGGCATGTGCCAAGCTGCGCGGTAAAATTGCTCGAGTCTCCAAAAAATGCGTTGTATACACAAATCGCCTGAGAACTTGAGTGTTAGAGCGCCTTGTCCGGCCGCCGCCGCTGCCTGACAAGGCACGAGCATAAGACACTTGGCGAGTGAACTCCTAAAGAAATGTGGGAGGTTGCGTAATCAAAAATACGCTCAACATCCCCCGACATCTGCGTACCACCAGCGGTAATTGATATAAATAAATAGTTCGTCGTCATTACTCCGAACGCACGCGTGGCGCGTGGTTCAGTGGTCTGACGCAGAGCGCTGCGGAGCGAGCGGTCGCTGGTTCGAATCCGGTGTCGGGTGAGCAAGGCAACAGGCACACTAATGCAGCTGATTATGATTAGTAATGCCGGAGAGATCTTTAGTGGGTGAACACCACATTAGCAAGGCAGCTAAAAATTTGGAGCACTCTTTAGTTTCGCTTTCAAAAGCAGATCGCGAAAGCTTAATTTGGGTTTCGCGCCCATCGCCTTCGAACCGGCCGGCTTGTTTGAGTTCTCGGTGCATGCCTTAACTGTGCCCGCAAAGAACGAATTACCGTGCATGTAATATTGACCGTTTGAAAGTATCATTGAATGCATGTTTCATGCACAATTGTTAAGTGCCCACTACGACATAATGATTGATTTTGCGAATCACCAAAGGGTGTACTATGGGTGATCTACGTAGTGGGTGATCTACGTAATGTACGTAGATGGCCGCCTTATTTACGATGCTTTACCGAAAACTGAGGCGGTCAAAATTTTACTTGGTGGTTTCCCTGACACCTGGCTAAACTTATAGTTAACTGTGACATATATAAAGTTACGATTATTACAACCAGTTACGCTGAGTTTTCAATTTCGGTTATTTTTTCCCCTCCTCACTTAGGCGTGCTTCAAGTGTCGGTGGGCGTTGATGCCCGTTTTTGCCACTTTTCGTTTCATGTGAGCTCGCGACTCATATAATTTGACCAAGGTAAATGGCATGTGTCAATATATCGCCGTTATTGTGCCAATGCATGCACGGCGCATGGTTAAGTTGTCCAGCATTGTCAAGCCATCTAGGATTGTCAAGGGACGCCATCTTCGTTGGCAGAAGCGCTATACATATCGGTCATTGCATCTGTTGTTGCTAATACAGGATGTTGCTGTTAGTATCGTTACTCAACAGTAAGCATGTGACTGTTAAAATATGTCCGCGATTATTTGTACATATTTTAGCATAATTTCGTAACGTGTGGCTTAATAAAAAAATCACAGCGTATACACGGGGTGAATGGTGATGAGTAGGACAAAGCTCTGGAGGGTGTCGTCGCTAAATCGTGAATCATCCGCGAATATCACCCACTACATCATCAAAGAAGTGACAAACACTGTATATATTTATACAAGAAATTTTATTACTCGTAATTGGTAGCTACTATACGCCGCTTCAGTTGCCTCTTCCTTATAACAGCTTTATGGTCGGTGAAGTGGTGGATTGGTGATTGGGCGTAGAGGAATGTTTGCAAGGACGAAGTAGTGGGCAGTTTGGAAAGGTGGACCTATAGGTGGTCACGTACAAACAGGGGCTGTGTTCCTATTCTTAGACAGCACGTAGACAGTATACGAAGACAGCTTAGAAGACAGCTTCGAGCCCATTCTGTCCGAGAAATGGAACACATATAGACTGCTTTTACGCGACAATGCGCTACCTCGCGTCGAGAAAAAAAAGGTATAGTAAACAAAGTTGATGGTTGTAGTTTCTGGCTTATTTCGTGTTGAAATCAAAAACAAGTAAACGTTACTCACATTGAGCGTCTGGAAAAGCGTCAGCTTGTGTGCAGACGACCATTCCGGCGATATCCGATCTATCTGAGCGATTCGAAGAGCCGTTATTTTGTTTAGACAGCAAAGCAGCCTGCATCTTATTTGTCTACGATGTGGTCTTCTCGGAGCTGTCTATTTTGCCGGCTACGTGAGAATTGAAGTAGGACTTGACGATGGCCGCCGTCCATTTAGCTGTCTATTTAGCCGTCTACCGTGAGTATTGGAACACAGCCAAGGATTGGACACAATGGCACAATCTATGGTTCTATAACGCGCACCTGGATACAAGTACACGACCATCTTGCATTTCATATTGGCTACTTCTATACAGGTATTGCTTTATAAAAATCAGTGAAGTGGTGGATTAGTGATCGGGATGTAGTGGGATGTTCACAAGAACGAAGTAGTAGGCAGTTGGAAAAGCTGAAACGACTAGAAATCACACACATACATACAAGGGATGGACAAACCCACGCCATTTGGAGCTTCGCCCGTAAAAAACATAACACAGTCACTTTCCCTACGCATGCTTCGCATAACACCAATTTCCCAAAGTATTTGGGATCTGACAAATGTTTTCAATGTAAATTCTTAATTTCAGTATGAATTCTGATTTTACAGAATGTGAAATGATTGTTGCTTTGGCTTTGAAAGAAGAAAAAGGAAGAAAAAAAGCGCTGTCCCGTTACTGCCTCTCTTAAACGAGGGCACCTTCACAGTTAAGCGCAGGGAAAGGGGGATGGGAATGAAAGAGACAGAAGAGAAGAGGTAAGAGTAGAGTGGTGAAGAGCATTCGCACCGCATCACATAGCGTGCGTCCGAAACCGATGCGATGATCCGCAACCACCAGGAAAAGCCGCCGGGAAGGCCGGAGAATTAATTCACCGAAAAAGAATACAATGAGCCTAAAGCCTAGTTCACACTGAAACATCCGCTTTCTACTGCGACCGAAATTCCTCTGCCGCCGAAACGCAGCGTCGTTCGCACTGGACGCGCTCCGCGCCGCCGAATACGCCATCTACTACGGGGCGAACGCGGGATGGATGCGCTGTCACCCGGTTGTTGTTGCGGCTCGCAAAGGCCACTACGCTATCCGGTGGTGTATACTTCGACGATTCTCGTATGCAAGAAGTAAGAAAAGACAGTACTGCTTACTTTGCTGGCAAGTGGCTGTCTTGTAATGCACGAAGAGCAGAAACACCACCGACGCCAGTGGCGTTGGTGGGTTCGTTTTGCTCTCAAGACCCCAACAAGCTCGGTCACGCCATCAGCAAGCTCGGTCACCTCTTCCACAAAATACGGACGCGAAGTAGGCACAGAGTAGGTTAAACTCCCGTCGGTTTCAACACTCAGTTACGTGCACTGCGGCATAACAAGTGAGTAGGGCTTGGCCGCCATTTTTCGAAATTCCTTGACTAGCGCTCCTATTGATGCGCGGTTACCGATTCGGCGGCAGTCGCCGCAAAAATCGGTCCGAGAGCGATCGGCGCGGACAGGGCCCTTTCGGCGGATCTCGCCGCCGCCGAACCGGGTTCGGGGCACTTTCGGTGGCGGAATGCTCAGCGTGAACGCGGCCTAAAATTCGCATAAAATGACGAGCGAACACACTCGTGTGACCACAAAGCGCAAACACGAGAGAGGGAAAAAAAAGGGCCGAATGACTTCGGTTCAACGAAAAAAAAAAACCAGCTGAACGCACTGATGAGAGAACGTGCGTGGGCACGTAGCACAGGGACGAAAGAGGGGAGAAAAAAAAAGAAACAGTGTTCTAGTTCAACGATAAGGAAAGGGAGAAAAAATAACTATAACTGTTGAACTTACAGATTAGTGTCCTGTTGACCTTGCTGAAATAATTCAGTGGGGCACAGAACACTGCAAGGGCGGATAGCCCGAACACGAAAGAGAAGGGGAAAAAAAGGTTCAGTTCAGCCAAAAGAAAGGAGAGAAGAGAAAAAAGAAGAATAATGTTTAGTCGAACACACACGTGAGAGTTCCGAGGAACTCGATGTGTAGAATCCCGTCGCTCTAGTTCGCCGGGACGATTGCCTCATGTGCAGCGATAGCCGCCACACACAGGCCACGAACCGGAGAATCAGGGAGCAGGAACACCATCACTGCGCGGATAGCTGCTACAAGTGCGGAGATAAACCGCGTCCATCGGGTCCGCCCCGGAGTCGGGGCAGTCCAGAGGAGGGGGCGAAGGGGCACTTGTGGTTGCAGCAGGCGCACTGGTAGGATTGCGAGGAGCGGGCACTGACGCCGATGGACGACCGGAGGCGACAGCATCCCGAAAGGAGCGGCCATTGACGACTTCTGCGCTGCCTCGCTTGTCGATGTAGTTGACAGCGGTTCTGGCTTTCTCAAGCGCTTGGCGGCGCGTCACGGGGCCATGCGAGGAGGCGATGATGACGGCGGCCTTGCGCTGAATTTGCCAGGAAGGGCAGCGCGGTTCGTTAGCCGGATGCGTGTCACTGCAGTTAATGCAGCGAGGGCGCTCCGCAGGACAGGGCGCTTTGGCGTGGCTTCCCACGCAGCGGTGACAGCGTTGGTCCCGCGAACAGGTCACGGTGGCGTGGACGAAACGGCCGCAGCGGGCGCACTGGAGGGGCCGTGGCAGGTGAGGGCGGACAATGCCGGCGGAGTTTGAAAAGGGCCACAACCAGCGGGACCGTGGTGCCCTGAAATGTTATCGTGAGGCACCTGCTTCGTCGGACGCAGGAGATGACCGGGACAGCTGAGTCGAGGCTGGCCACGATTTCCTCCAAGTCAAGGGTTGCGTCGACGCCATAGACGGTGCCAACGCAGCTGTTTAATCGCGAGGAGCTTCCCCCTGACGTGGGTGTCGCAGGCCCGGCTCACCTGGAGCAGGGATGTGGGATCCGCGAGGGGCTGGATGTCCACAGCGACGAAGTTGCGCCGAAAATTGACACGGACGTGTCGAGTGGCCGAGAAACCGGAGAAGAAGGCTCCGATGGCTTCGCGGGTCGTGGCGAGGTCGTTGGCCTTCTTGCTAACTGGGCGGTAAAGGGTGGTGCCGCTGTGCTCTCCCACTGCTGCAGGAAAGGCCGGGGGCTGTGTGACGGGCTCAGGAGCTGGGTCGGCATCCAGTTGAGCTGGGGGGGGGGGCGAGTTGGTGAGCTGAAGTGGAAGCTGGGGATGCCAGTTTCCTCCCATGTCGTGTCGTGACTATTTGGTGACGACGATGGTGGTGTTCGGTGTTCCCATGAAGAACTACAGGCGGACGATTCGTCCGTCTCCGAGGGGTTTGCCCGAGTCGGCGCGGTTTCGATGGAGCGCTCTTCCTCGCGCGCGCCCGAAGGCGAGCTTTGTGATGTTGCTGCCGACGGCCATGGTCGTCGGTCGCGAAGCGTCGGTGTTGAGACGCATAAGACGCATCCTGAAGCTTTTGCTGCTTCGGGTGGAAGTCACCTTTAAGGTTCTGGTTGGACCGAGCCTGGTACCGAAGTACAGGCGGGCCCATGACTATGGGTAGCCCTCAGAAGGGCTGTGCGCCCGAAGGCGCGAAGCAGGCGTCGAAAATAGCCCACGGGAGGAGCTACAAATTGCGACCGCCCCGGAGAAAAACTCTCGAAAAAAGCCGCAAATGAATGTTATTTCCAACATTACTCTGAATTACTATATGTTGAAGGCCACTCAACCACAATGTGATAGACCGAGAGGCTCCCGTTTTGCTGGCTTCAGGAAATAGTACACTTAACGATAGACAAACTACGCCAAGTTTAATAGGTTATGGAACGAAATATATATATACAACAATGTCCAGTCAGACACTCAGTGGCCCTGACGCAGCTGTGCTTGGCTTCGTCATCCGCAGCCGGAGTCACGGAAATGCGCGCTGGATGTAGAGGACCGTGGCAGCCCGTCCACCAAAGGAGAGCCACACAGAACTGGCCAACCGAGGTCGCTGAATGCTGTCGTAGGCGAACCATGGACGTCTGCGTCCTTGACGAGGCGAAGATGTTTCGTTCATCTTCATCGTCGTCGTTGTCGTCGTCGTCTTCCGCGCACCGTATTCAATCCACAAGTCCTCTCCGAAAGTCCATCTAGAATTCCACTGCTCTTTCAAGCTCGAGTAGGACACGAGACGAACCAGGCACGCAGGACTTTCAGCACGTGGCCGGTCTTCAGGCAGGTTTCCTTTCGAAGGCGAACTTTTCGCACTTTCGCTGCGCAACGACCACGGTATGGGATCAGCGGTAGCCTTCTGCTTCAGCACCCGTTCAACACAAGGGACCCCCTTCCAGCGACAACTTGGAGAGTGACCGCCCTGAACACTTCTTGTCCAAAAGCAAAACGCTGCTGTCCGATGATGGTGGTGCAGCTGTTCATCGCGTTGGTCACCCACCGTTTTCCCGAACTCATCATCGTCGGAGGTCCACCGCGACGCCGAGACACCAAAGGCTTGGTACTGGTTCAGGATCGTCGTGCTGTCGTTTACCTTGATCAGCTTCCCGTTGCATCGCGAAAACAAGGCCGAAGAATTCTGGAAGGTTTGCTCGCTTGCTGCATGGTGATGACACCGGTGGTGAAGTGTCGGAACCTTGGTTGGTAAGGACGCAAGCCGACAATGAAGACTTAGACTCGGACCTCTTCCTCCTCTTTCGACGCGTTGCATAAGCGACGGCTGGCATGTCTCGGTCCTGGAGGTCGAGACTTCGATGGAACGCAGGCGAAGGCTTTGGTGGGTTCGGTACTGGCAGCCAGATTGTGAAAGTGGGCGTCGTAGAACAATTTAGCTGCGACCAACAGGACGCGGAGCTCGAGCACAACCACGCATCGCAAGATTCGGGTAGTGAACGGCTGTCGGGCCCGTGCCGGCGCATGGAGCTCGAGGGCATGCACACACGTGCGCTCATGGCCAGTGCCGATCACCGCGATCAGCTTTCTCTTCTTCGTCAACAAGTGGCAGCACGTTCTTTCTTGTTCCGTTTCGGAGGCGTTTCGGAAGATGCGTCAAAAGGATTCTAATCACTCCAATACCTTGCCCACACTTCATTATTTCACGTTCATTGTTTTCGATAGAAACATCTTTGTGAACGCCACAATGAGGCCGCTGAATTCATCTTGCCTGTGCATTGGGGTAGTCGGAAAGAGCTTGCCACGACCGTTTCGGCTCAATTAATCACTTATTCGTGAAGATGGTATTCAGTTGACGACGAGCCGCAATGTCGGGTGTTTGATCAGGGTAAATTTTAAACGAAAGATGGTGGCTGTGAAAAGAATGTGTTTGGATTTGCCTCCAGATCGTTGCCAGTTTCCTTGTAAATTATGTAAACATGGCGACGTGAGTCTTGCAATTCTCTGTTTAATAATAAGCTGTACTTATATTGTTCTAGGTGACCCTATCTGGTGAAAAGTCTGGTGTTCAGTATGCCACTACCCTGTTTAATAAACCTCGCGATACGCGATAGACCGTCTCTTCACATGGATTCCCCATGTGAATGAGCGCCCATACACGTCGTATCTTGTTGCTTCGTTTCTTATTTTTAAAGTTGCCCGCAGCGATCGACCCAACACAACCAATTACGAAGTTCGCGAGCGCCCTTTTGAAATCACTCAAGATGTATTTAGTAGCTAGAATTGAGGTTAGGGTAATAAAAGCCTAGCCAAGCCACCAGCAGCCGGATGCCCAGCAGCGCTGCTGTGACCAAGCCTTGTGCCACTTAGTGCTAAATGGGCTAACTTTTTATTTTATTTATTCATTTACTTTTCTAACACATTTGTGAGTATTTAGAGCCAGTACGGACTCTGTTTAAGTACTTGCTGTTGCGTGGGCGTCGTTGATTGTGAACGAAAAATCATCGTTTTGTCGTGGACCAAAAAATAGAAAGAAGGATTTAAATAAAAGTAATGTTAAAAAATTACGAGCCCAGCGACTATCGAAGCTCGGGCCGTTTGCGGTGGCAAGAGTGAGTGGCTCTTACAACAAATCCAACCATTTGTTTGGAGATACACTCAAAAAACGTTGTCCGCTTGGAAACGCTGTGAAAACAACGTTCATGTTTTACAAGAACACGCGTTTAGTATAAAGGCTTCGAAATACAACATGTAATATTGCAGTATTATTGCGTGATTCCAGAGTACGTTGCCATCAGATGTCGGAACATGATGATGCTGATGGCCTCCATATATGCATGGTTTATACCCACTCGGGGCACACATGTTTCTGCACCTATTCCCTGAATACCCAGTAGTGGGGTGCATAACAAGTTCGAAAAGATTTCGCGCGCATAATTACTCATGATGAAGATCTTGATGACAAAAACTTTATTGGGGTCTAGAGAAGACGCAGGGGGGACCCTACGCCAGCCTACTAGTACCACGTATAGGGACTACGAAGCTCGGCGGTCCGTTCGCGACCCTCTGCCTGTCTATGGTGTTTCGAAGCGTGATGTTCATTACAGAAAATGCAGCCATAAAGCTTCTCTGACGCTAGAGACTTTCAACTTAATCGATTATACAGTACTATTCGAACTCTTCTTGAGTAACATCATACAGTAAGAAATGCGCACTAAGTTGCTGAAGCACGCCCCAGTAGGGATAGGATATAATGTTTGCGTTCAGCTCTCAAACACGGAGCTTAAGTTCCCCCCAATGTTCACATGTGTGTCCGTGCCTTCTAACGCGGATGTATTTTACCTTCCCGAAGTTCTTACCGTGCAACTAAATCTATGTGCATGGGTTTTTCTGGAATGTTACGGGACCGCTGGCTCGCACCATCTTTTCACGAATACAGGCCCCACCACACGGCGGTGGAAACCTAGTCTTTTACACAGATTTGTTAATTTTTTTGTTTCTCGAAAATATGACACATACTAAGGAGGACTTCAAAATGACTGGAGTGGAATGGTTGCGCAGAAGTGAAGCCGTTAATCTAGCAAGGTGGTGGCTGTGGCTGCCATCTTACTAGGGGCATGATGAGTTATCACCATTCAGCGATTCAAAAAAAGAAAGTTTATTGTGCACTTAACTTGTACGTACACAAACGAAACATCAATAACAAGTAAAGACAGTGTATACATTTAACAAATGAGCACCGAAATCTAATTGATCACTGGATATCCATATATTACAAGTCAAAGGAAATTTAAAATGAATCAAGTTATGTACATTTTACGGCATAACACCTATACATGCGTACTAGAGTAGGCAAGTGGCTAATACGGGACAACTGGGAACCTCAGCTGTCCTTTTCTTAATTTGAAGAAATGTGTGTGCCATTGTCGAAGGAAGGCCTTTTCGCCGTCCGTTTCCAGCTGCTGATCTAGGTAATTCCACACAATGAGCCGTATTTTCTGTAGTGCGGGATAAACAAAGCGTTTCCCTCGCACGCCCAACGAGTTTAATGTGAGAACTTTTTTCGACCAGTTAGCACTCCCAGTGCGTGTTACTAGTTTTCATTAGTGCACCTCTAATTAAAGGCAAAGTTCTTTGAAGAGTCAGTCATCCATACTAGTTTCTGCGTGTTACTTAGTCGGGAATAACTATCATTTAATAAAGAACTCACATAGCATCTACATAAGATATCAAACTTACTTGATTTTTTAGTGGGCACTATTAGGAAAGAGCATGTTTCCGCCATCTTGGCAGTGGCAAAAGGTGGCTTCACTTCTTCTGTCAAGACATTGCAAGAGCTTTTACTCCAGCAATGTTTCTTTATTCCTCCTTGGCACATTCCAACTCTGAGGGATTGGCCAAAAAAACGTTGAGTACTTTTTTTTGCGAGCATTACAAGTATATTTAAGAATGAATTTATATTGAATACAACTAATGCAAAAATGAAAAAAAAACATACAGACAGAGAAAAAGCGAGAAGAAATACAAAAGAACAAATTAAGTTTTCCTCTTCTCTTTCACGTGACCAGGACTCGACAGCACACACTCTAGATTATAGCAGTGAAACGTGTCAGCCAAGCGACCACTATAAAGGCAAAAAAATACGTTCATCGTAATTGCATCCCAGACGTATTAACGAAAAGGACGCAGAACGGTGCCACTGGAAGAGCACTCTCCTGTGTCTTTGTGTCGTGTTTGCTCTGCTATAGCAATGAAATATTCAGTACCAACTAGCATGCCAGAAGAAGTAACCGCAGGTGCTACGTAACATTACCGAATGTTTTTACTAATGTTAATTCTAATTGTGGCTCAGTGTG